CAAATACCTTTATTTTACTACTTATTTTTATGCGGTGCTGAGGATCAAACCCTGGGCCTCACGTGCTAGGCAAGCACTCTACAACCCCAGCCCAACATCGGATTTTAAAAATTTAACAATAAAGTGAAATCTATAAAGTTTGATTTTTTAAATATTGTAAAAATATCATGGATATCCAAATTGAAAGGGTCCACTGGATGAAAATATCCCCATATTAAGACACAGGAAGTTGGGCAGACTGGTGACACATGCCTGTCATCTACTACTCAGGAGGCCAAGGCAGGAGGATCACAACTTCAAGGCCAGATTGGACAATGTGGAGAGACTCTGTATCAAAATAAAAGGGGTGGGGGATATAGCCTGATGGTAGAGCACCCCTGGGCTCAATTCCCATTACCGCAAATAAAACAAAAAAAAGACATGATTTTTATGAAATTGAAATTTCAAAACTCTGGGAACAAGCAGAAAATTTTATAAGTTTCCAAAAAGGAAAAAAAATGAGTAGTATACAAAAATAATGAATGAGAATGACTTCAGACTTCTCAATAGTCACCTGGGAAGCAGGGAATATACTGGAGGATGCTTGCAAATTTCTTGAAAGAAAATTAGTTCCAATCCAGAATTCTATACCCAAAAATTATCCATCAAGCATGAGGGCCGTGTGTGTGTGTGTGTGTGTGGGGGGGGGGGGTAAAGACATTTAGGACATCCAAGGTCTTCAAAAAACATATTTCCTATGTACCTGTTTAAAGGAAGACCCTGGAGGCTATTTGCCACCGCAAAGGGAGCAGAACAAGAAGAGGCCTCCTTTTCTGGTCTTCAGCAGGCCAGGCAGAGGGGGGAGGGGAGGGGAAGGTGCACCCGGGCAGGCCAGGTGGTCAGTCAGGCTGCAGCAGGCCAGAGACCCAAGAAGATGGAAGGGCTTGAAGGAGAGGAAGGAGGAGGAGGGGAGGAGCCGGAGGAGGTGGAATTGACAGGGCAGCTGGGATGGGTCAGGCATGGCGGCTCCCTGGGGCTGAACTGGTAATAAGGAAGCCAAATAACAGACCAGGAACAACTCTAAGGGGGGAAATGATAATTTTGAGAAAGTGAGAGGAATCACCTTACCCCACAGCCCCCCACGGGGCTGAGTGTGGGAAGCCTGGGTCCACTCTGAGGGACAGGGGGTACTCCTAGCACCATCAGCTGGGGTCGGGGTGTTCATGGTTCTCAAGGACTTTCCTGAACAGCTTCACACCTGTGTGTGTGTGTGTGTGTGTGTGTGTGTGTGTGATGGGAACGGCCTACGGATATCACACTTATGTAGCTGCCTGGGACAGCGAGGGACAGCAGCAGGGCTGGGGAAGGAGGACGGTCTGGAGGCCCTGCTACAGCCCAGGGAGGAGGGGAGGTGGCCCAGACCAGCGCCCAGCAGAATGCAGAGAGGTGACCAGAGGAAGGGGGGAGAGAGAAGAAAGAAGGGAAGGAGGAGGGATGGGAGGAAGAGGAAGGGCAGGGGGGAGGAGGAGGAGGGGGAAGATGAGGAAGAGGGGGAGGGGGAGAGGAAGAGGGGGAGGGGGAGGAAGGGGGAGGGGAGGAGGAGGGGGCAGAGGAGCGGGAAAGGCAGGGAAGGGGGAGGGGTGTTGGCGCTTTGGCTGGGGGAGGGGGTGGGGAAGGTCAAGGCCTAGGACAGGGCAGTGCCCCCCACTGCGCTGGGCCTTCTCCTTAAAGGGGGAACAGACTTCATCAGAGGAGAGCCCCTCCCCTTCCTGCTGCCCCACCCCAGGATGGCTTCCCAGTGTGTGGCCTCTGGGGTCTCCCAGGCTGCACCCCACGTTTCCAACTTGCCCTGGACCCCCATCCCTGCCCCCACAGGGCCCAAGTCTCAGCCCAGCCTCTCTCCCCACAGGGGAACCATGGATGGCCTCTGTGATGCTGGCCTTCCTGTCAGTGACTGTTACCGCCACGCTGCCCTCTGGGTGTCCTCTGTCCTCACCTGGGAGCTCTGGGGCTGAGGCAGTCCCAGCCCTGCCCACCTGGGGCCCAGAGCACATTCCCGGGGAGAGGCCCGGCCGAGGCCTCGCCAGGGGAACATTCTGGACTTTCTCCCAGCTCCAGTTACCGGCCCCGGGACCTCACCCCCAGCCGGCAGCTGCTGTCAGGGCCGGGCAGCTCCCCCGACGTCCCCAGCCTCAGATGGCCACCTGGGAAGCCGGTGGCACCTCCTCTCCTAGCTCCCTGCCTCCACCTGCTCCCTGTCCTCGTCCCTAGCAGCCTCCTCCCGACCCCCCCTCCCCTAGGCGCACGGGCCAGCTGACACCCCAGGGCCGCGCAGCACCCCAGCCCCGGCACCTCCCCGCCTCCTCTGCTGCTAAAGGCCAGTCTCTAGTGCTCCGGCGGGCGACCCCAGCGACACCAGGGCTTCCCTCCGCCGGCCCTGGGCTGCCCTCAGCCTAGGGGTCCCCATCAGACCGGGAGCTCCCCAGGGCAGGGACCCAATCTTTCTTGCGGTCCTGGTGCTCTGCTGGGGGCAGGCACGCGACACATTCTGCATCTGTGACAGAAGAAATCCTGCCCAGGGAGGCTGGTCTTCAGCAGGGCAGAAAGTGGGGCGCCAGGTGGGAAGGCTGTTAAAGGGCCCGCCTCTGCAGCCGCCTGGGAACCCCAGGACGCCCGGCGTGTCCCTCCGCTCTGGCCACCAGGTGGCGCCAGACTCCCGGTGTGTGACTGCGCCGCGCACCCCAGCCTCCCTGAGGGAGGCCCTCAGCAGCAGCAGGACAGGCTTCTCCTGGGCTGGTCCTTGGCGTCACCTCAGTTCCTCAAGGGGTCTTGCTCCATCTGCTCCCCTGTGCCTGTACCCACCCTAGGAGGTGCCATGCCTGCTGCACAGGTCAACTTTCCCCTCCCAGGTGGCCTTGGATGAGGGTGTGTCACAGGAAAATGGAAGAGAACTGGACTTGGAACCAGGAGACCTGGAAATGGCAGTGTCCCTCAGTGTCCATGGTGTGCTGGCACACTCTGAGGACTTTATGCTTGTCCGCCCAATTAATCCTCCCAAGGTCCTAGGATGTAGGAACCACTATTAGCCCCATTTCACAGGGAGCTGAGGCACAGAGAAGTTATGTAGCTTGCTAAAAGTCACACAGCTAGAAAGTTCTGCCAAATGAGATGCTTGCAGCTGGAGGCAGGGATTGGGAGGATGTGATGCTGGAGCTTTGAGGAGAGAAGAGGGTGGAACAGGGGACTCGGGAAGGCCCGTGGGCCAGGTTGGCAGTGGAGCGAACCGACCAGATTGAGAAGTGGTAAGGAGGGGTGGAGGTGGCACTGGGTGTGGCAGAGCTGTGGCAGGCCAGGGGCACGGCCAAGGTGCTAGGGGAGGGGCAGGGCCCAGGGCTCCTTCCCGTGGGCCTTCCAGGGTCCTGGGTGGCCCACCCTGCACTGCCCAGCTCCCCCCTCCCCTGCCCCAAACCCAAGTCACCTGGACTGCAGCACGTCCCTGCAGCCCAGTTCCACAGTCCCCCCAGGATTCCCACTGGCCTCTCCTGCCCTGGACTGTGGGGGCACAGGAGGGAGAACGGGAGGACTGGGGTGGGGGCATGTCATTTCTGAGTCCCACCCAAGGTCCCCAGGCGCAGCCCTGAGCCACGTCCACCTGGGTTTGAGACCCAAGGGCCACCTGGATTGAGAACCATCTCCCTGCCAGGTGCAGTGGCGCACGCCTGTGGTCCCAGCGGCTTGGGAGGCTGAGGCAGGAGGATCTCGAGTTCAAAGCCAGCCTCAGCAACTTAGTAAGGACCTAAGGAACTCAGCGAGACTCTGTCTCTATATTTAGAGAGTTATAAATATTTTCAGAGTTATAAGTATTGCAGTATAAAGTAGTCTTCATTCATTCATTCAGTAAATATTGACTGCGTAACTAGAATGTGTCCTTATTATTAAATTCAAAAGAAAGGAACCAGTTCTGCTGGCCTCAGCTCCCCTGATCGCCCATCCTATGCTTTGTCCTGATGTGTCGCTGATCTGTCCAGAGGAATCACTCTAAGTGATCTAGTGACGCCCATCACTGGAGGCTCAAAAGCCTCCAACCTCCCTGGTGTCTGTAAGTCAGGTGCCAATCCCTGTGTGGGACCCAAAGATCTGGCTCCATCTCTGTCCCCTAGGGTCTCCCTTTATTGATTGATTGATTGGTACCAGGAACTGAGCCACATCCCCAGCCCTATTTTGTGTTTTATTTAGAGACAGGGTTTCACTGAGCTGCTTAGCGCCATTGCTGAGGCTGGCTTTGAACTCGCGATCCTCCTGCCTCAGCCCCCCCCAGCCACTGGGATTGCAGGCATGCGTCACTGCACCCGGCTCTCCCTTTAGTTTGTGACACCAATTTCCACTGAAGTCACATGGTCCAGGCCCATGATCAGAACATCTGGGGCCTTCTCTCTGCACCCTGCTCATGCCACGCCCCAGGGGAACAGCTACCCCTTCTGTCCTGCCAAACACGTCCATCTTTTTTCTGGTCCATTTCTCCAAGTGGCCTCTCTGGCTGTCTGGAGCCGGGTTCTCAACTCAGGCAGCCTCCGGTCCAGCCTCCCGTCCCTGGGCATCCTCATGTGAGCACTGATCTTTGGCAGGAGCTGCTGGGCCAGCCGACAGCAGGGGCAGGGTTGGGCCTGGGACACACACATTGCCCGGTGGCCTGGGCATCTGGGCCCTGTGGTGTTTGTGGCATTCCTGAGGCCTAAACTGAACGGACATGAGTGGTGGCCTCCTCCTCCCCAGCCCTGTTCCTCTTCCAGGTAGTGTAGGGTCAATGGGGGTCCCACAGCTTCCCAGTGTCCTTCCAAGCTGCCGTCCAGCTAGGGCACCAACCAGATGCCAGGCAAGATCCTATTATCCAGACAGAGCCACTGGGTCAGAGCCTGGGCGGGGGAGGCGTGAGGGTCCTCTGCTGCACCCCCTGGGCCCCGCCCTTCTACAAGGCCCAAGTCTTCCCAACCTCTACATGGTCACCTCCACTGAGCCGTGGCCACCTCCACTGAGCCGTGGCCACCACTCCAGCACTGACAGCTCTTGCTGAAGGAATCTGTCTGCCTTCCTCCATTCTGGGCTGGTCCTTCCCGCTCCTGCTGGGCACCAGGTCCAGTGGCAGCTCACTGAAGCTCAGGGCACCTCTGAGGTGAGGCAGCTGAGGTTGCTGATGAGGGGACCCTGGGAGGCTGAGACTCCAGAGATTGTCACTTTCACAGGATTGTGGGATCAGGCTCCGTGGGGCCAGGGCTGACTCTCTGTCAAGGGCCTTTTCTTCCAGGTGTCCCTGGCCACTTGGGGAGAGGCAGGCGTGGCCCGACAGGTCCCCCCAAATTTTCAGCAGACGTACAGAGCGAAGCCTGGGTCAGGGTTGCGGGCCAGTCTGCGTTGGGGAGCGTTGGGGAGCGCGTCCGGGCTCGGGTACCCGCCAGCACAGGGGGCTGGGAAGGACCAACCAGGAGGCTCTGGTGAGGAGGAAGTGCTCTTACCCCGTTGTGTAGGGAGGGAAAACAGGGTTTTGTTTGTTTTGTTGGCCTTTTTTTTTCCTTTTTCTTTGGGCTGATTGTTCTCCTTGAATCTTTTTGTCCTGTTTTGTTTTTCACGGGCTGACCGTGCCGCCCAGTGCTCGGCGGCTTCCTGTGTTTCTGCCGCCGCGCGGGCCTCCGCGGGCCTGGCTTCCTGTTGTGGCCGTCGCCAGGGCGATCGAGCCCCCTCCCCCAGGGGGCTGGGGGGGCCGGGGGGAGGGGGGACAGGGGTGATGTCACCGGGTGAGAAGGCGAGGGGCTGGGGTCGGGGAGGGTGGCAGCAGCCGAGCACTGCGGGCACATTGCTGAGGGGTGACTCACAGCAGCCGGGGAAGAATGTCCTCACATTCTTTGGGAGGTAAACAAGGTCAGGGAGTGAGCTGGGATCCTGTTTACCTGACCCAGGCCCCCGGGGACCCGGAGCCTCGCCAGGGCGGGGGGAGGGGCCGGCGCAGCAGACCCCTTCAGAGGCCCCGAGGAGCCAGAGACAGACCGGGGATTCCAATCACAGCTCTGAGACCCACCGGGAGCAGGTCACCTGGGCTTCCCCTATTTCTGAATGGTGACCGTGGCCACCCTGGATGGTGTGTGTGGCGGAGAGGGGCTTCGGCTGCTGGTCTCTCCGTCCGTCCCTCACCTGGAACAGGGCCTGGTCTACCGGGGCCTCCACACTCCCACAGGAGGCAAGCCCAGGCAGAGGGACAGAGGTCAGGGGACACCCTGAACAGGCCTCAGGGACGCCCCAGACACATGGCCAGGCAGAAGGGCCAGGGAGAGCCGGGCTCCGAGGGCCACAGTGTGGGTGCAGCTCACCTGTCCCCCATCTTGTGGTCCACCTTCAGCCTTCCCTGAGCCTCAGAGTGACAGAGCCAGCAGGCGCCCCCCTGGCTCTTCCTGGCCACGATGGCCTGCTCCAGGTTCAAACTCCGGGATCCCACTGCTCCAGGGCCCTGCAAGAGCAGCTGCAGGGATGGGGCTGGAGCCGGGGTGCCAGCTCCCCAAACTCAGAGACATGTCCTGCATTGACCCTCTGCCAACTTCAAATCAGACCGGCTGCAGATGGGGTGGGGGCTGCTTCTCCCCTCCGCAGGAGCCATGTGGGAGCCCCAGGCCAAGCCCCCCACCCCCGCCGTGGTCACAGTTGAGTGGGGTACACCTGGTCCAGTGGGTGAGCACGTGGACATCAGATCAGAGTGGCCTGAAGCCAGGGGTGGCTAGTGTGGCTCTGGGCAAATTCCTGGCCCCTCAGAGCCCTCCCCTGACCCTGCAGCACACAGTAGGCCCTCAGCACGCGTTGAACCCACCCAGACTTTCACTGTCCCCAGCACCCACCCGGCTGGGCCCAAACCCCCTGGCCGGGCCCAAACCCCCTGGCGACCCTTGCTGACTGCCTGTCCCCAGGCAGGAGGCGCCACCAGATGCCCCATGGTGGTTTTCCCATAAAGGGCCGGACCGGGTTTCCCTGGACGGGGAATATCCTGTTCTGCGCCGGCCACGGGGGGAGGGGAGGAGCGGGAAGGACACCGGGCTCCGCATTCCTGGCATTCTTGGCAGGCTCCCCGTCCAGCTGCCTCGGCGGCGGCTCTGGGGGCACTGGCCTGGTGCCACACGGCCGGGATCAGCAGTCCACCACGGTGCCTCTCAGACTTGGGGTGACAGGGGACCCCTCTTATGCTGGACCCACCTGCCCCTGTCTATCTCAAGGGAAGCCAGGATCCTGTTCTCGAAGCAGACAATTGGGGTCCTGGGGGTGTCCCGTCCCCAGGGGAGGGGTGTTCTCATTTGTGTCTCGCTGCCCTCGCCAGCCCACCCACCAGCCCAGCAGGGGAGCTCCGGAGAATGGCTTGGGGCAGGGCTGGGGGCCAAGGATGCTGGCTTCTGATAGCCAGCGCCTGGGACACTCACTCTTGTCTCAGACTCCATCTCCGTGGCTCTGCCGCACTGTGGCTCACCATCTGTGGCCCTGGAACCCTCTTTGCACAGCCTTGACCCATGAGCAAGGGTGGGAAGCCAGCCCTGCCCCAGGCTCGGTGCCCACTGCCTCTGAGGGGCAGCTCCGGTCTGCAGGGTTCTGACCTGGGCTGGGGGCAGGGACTGGGCTCCATGCTGCTCCTGGGAGGGTCCGGGGGGCCTGGAGGGAAATCTGGGTCCAGATCCCAAAGACCTGCTGCCCTCCCCAAGCCTGCCCAGCACCTGGGGCCATTCTTGTCCCTGGTTTCTGATCCACGGGAGCCCAAGCACTGTGGGAAGAGGCAGGGCCACTGTAGCTCCCCAGGGGTCTCCCTCAGAGAGCGCCCTCCCCCAGAGACAGCTGTAGGCAGGTGGCCCTGGACCCTGGCACCTCCACCTTCCCAGGAGAGGGAGGGATGGAGGCTGTGTCAGGTGGGCGCATCTGGAGCCCAGCCTGGGACACCAGCCTCTGGACCCTCCTCTCCCCTCTGCTGTCCTGGCCCCGCTGTTCTGTCCTAGAGACCCTCAGAGGGTCTGCACCGGGTGCTCCATTTCCCATGTCAGTAGCTCCTGGTGGCTTGGGGACAGAGACCAGGGCAGCCCTGGTCCAGGCCACATGCAGAGGCAGGAAACTCTTCTCACTTTAGCCAGGAGCCAGGGGGGTCCCAACCATGGGTCTCAGCGTCTCCCCTTGATCATCCCAGGACTGCACCACAGGGTCCCTCTGGCTCAGCCATGTTGGCCCGGGTTCTGCGAAGGAGCCTCCCTGTCCCCAGCACAGCTTCCTACTCCCAGCAACCCCTTCCCCATCCCCTGACCTCCCCCAGAAAGGCCAGATCCCCCACCCAAGCCTCCCCCTTCCCCTGGTGCCTCTCATCTGCTTGTCCTGTCTGTCTGGCCATCTCTCTGTCTGTCTAAAGGACAGTTGGAGGAAAAGGCCGGAGCCCCACCCTACTGGGTGCACATGGCCAATGCATTGTTCACCCTCCTCTGGGAAATCACCTCCATTGTCAAGCTGGGCCCCAGGGGAGGAGGCCTCAGGGTGGAGGATGGAGACAGACATCTCCTTCAAATAATTTAGGATAAAACGAGGGAGTATTATGCAGCCATGAAATATGACATCTTTGAAGAATAATGATGACATAGGAAATGGTCACTAAGATTAAAATTTTTAAAAAGTGTCCCTAGAAGAAAAAGTTGAAGCAGCCAGATTCTGTGGCACATGCTCGTAATCCCAGTGGCTTGGGTGGCTGAGGCAGGAGGATCACGGGTTCAAAGCCAGCCTCAGCAACTTAGTAAGACCCTAAGCAACTCATCAACACTCTGTCTCTAATAAAATACTAAAAAGGACTGGGGATGTGGCTCAGTGGTTAAGTGCCCTTGGGTTCAATTGCTTGTACCAAAAAAAAAAAAAAAAGTTGAAGCAAACACATCAAAGTTGCTAAGTCCTAACTGATCCTGTCTTCCCTTTATACTCTTGTGCATTTTCAACATTTTTTGCAATAAGCACTTGTTGGTTTTATACTCAGAAAAAGGAGACAAATGTAACACAAATGAAAGAGAAACCAGGAACAAATACACATGATCTGAAAGACACTAAGGCCCTACTGGAAAGCACTGAACCTAAAGTAAGCCCGGTGTTTAACTCAAGTTAGCAAACACTGAGTATGCTCCTGCTGTGTGCTGAGGCTCTGCTGAATGAAACAGAGTGGGACAGTCCCGGGTCACTAGTGACACAGGCACAAAGCAGGACATGGTCCCCTGAGGAGGGCATCAAGGAAAAGAGATGAGGGACCAAGAGGGCTTTGGGGAGAAGGTGAGGACTCACAGAGGCTGGGGGAGGAGCAGGTCCCCGTGGGGGGGCTGGTAGGAAACAGTGAGCCACTGGGGTCCCCTTGGGGCTACAGCAAGAATGACAAGCAGGTAGGGAAACTGAGGCTCCAGCCCTCTCCCTCTGCATCTGCTGTGTGCTGACTCAGGCAGAAGGGGAAGGGGGTGAGATCAGTTGTGCCCAGAGTCCCCAGGCCTCAGACCCATGGCCAGGCTTTCTGGGGAGACCCCCTCTCCGCCCCACACCCAGTTTATCTGAGGACAGGGCCGTAGTGCTGACCCTGGCGGAGCAGCACCCTCCATAGCTCCCGCTTGCCCACGAGGTCGAATCCAAAAACCTATCCCACACCCTGGACCTCTTCTCCATCTGTCCTTCCTTCCTTCCTTCCTTCCTTCCTTCCTTCCTTCCTTCTTTCTTTTCTTTCTAATATTTATGTTTAGCTGTAGTTGGGCACACACCTTTACTTCATTTATTCGTCTTCATCTGGTGCCGAGGAGCCAACCCAGGGCCTCGCACGTGCTGGCCGAGCGCTCCACCGCTGAGCCCCAGCCCCAGCCCCTGCTGCTGGTTCTCCGCCACAAACCTCAGCCCCGTCCTTGGTGTTGGTGGCAGTAAGCTATTTCCCATAATACGCAAAGGCTCTGGTGACCATCTGACCGTCTCTCGTGGGTCTCGGGGTGGGGTCTCACGGGGTCAGGGTGGCGGCGGGGCCTCTCTCCTTGCAGCTGGGCCTCTGAGGGCGAGGGTGGAGCCTGGGGGCTCAGGGCTCCTCCAGGGCTCCGTGAAGCTTTCAAAATCCAGCTGTGGAGGGTGCAGCGTCACCTCCGCCAAAGTCCCAGGGTGACGTGGTGTGTCACAGCCTGTGGGCTCCGGACGGGGAACGACTTCTTCTCGGTGGAGGAGTGGAAGGCTCAAGGCAGAGGCTTCCAACTCCCCGGCTTGAGGGATCCTCCGGGGGGCCCGGGCCTCAATCCTTAGGTCTCCTTGCCCCAGGGTGCCACAGTCTGGCTGGGCACAAATGCCGCAGTCTGGCTGGGCACACAATCACGAGCCACCACACAGCTTGTAGATTCAAACAGCAACTCTTTATTCCCGAACTCACACCAGCCGTCTACAATCACGTTCTGGGGGAATCCACGTTCTTTTCCCAAATCCACGTTCTCTGCCCAAAATCACCTCCACTGGGCTTCTATCTCCAAAATATACTGTCTGAATCCCGTGAGAACTCAAGGGGAACTCAGGCAGCAGGATACGCCCTATTCCCAGCAGGAATAATCTTAAACCTTAAACCTGGAACCTAAACTGGGAACGCCCTAAACAAGATTATCTTAAAACCGGGAACACCCTAATCTGCCTTGGTTCTTGAGCAAGGTTAAGTACATTCAATGTCACTGCAACATGTCAGCAACATGGGGTACGCTGGCAAGGAAATTGTCATACCTACTTGGCTAATGGCTCCCAGCACCAGGGTGACCTCATCCTGTCTCAGGGGTCACCACCCAGGAAGCCATGACACACGCGTGTGTCCTCAGCTGTCTCAGGGGTCACCACCCAGGAAGCCATGACACACGCGTGTGTCCTCAGCTGGGACCTGAACCGCAGGCTGTTTCGCGCCAGTTCAGCTCCTGGTCACCCCCAGGGCCTGCTCCCCCGACCCTGCTCCTCCTGTCCCCTCCTCAGCCCTGGCTGCCTGCTTCCCCCTCCAGGCTGCTTGGCATCCAGGGACAGGCCTGGGACTACCTGAGTCACCTCCTGCTAAAACCCTCACAATGGCCACCAGCAACAGGGTCCCAGGCTGGGCCTCTGCCACCCACCCCCTTCAGGTGTTGATCCAACGCTGCCACCACCCCCAGCGCCCCAAGGTAAGCTGACCCCGCACTCCCCACCCCACCTCCTCCCAGCACTTACACCCCCTCCTGCTCTTCACTGGGGCTGCCTGCAGCATCCCAGGTGACGTGGCTCACTGCGGAGCCAGGGTCATTGTAGGGTGCGCAGGTGGGGCCGGGTGGGTGAGTGGATGGGTGGATAGTGGGTGGATGGGTGGATAGTGGGTGGATGGGTGGATGGATGGGTGGATAGTGGGTGGATGGGTGGATGGATGGGTGGGTAGAGGGTGGGTGGGTGAGTGGGTGGATGGGTGGATGGATGGGTGGGTAGAGGGTGGGTGGGTGAGTGGGTGGATGGGTGGGTGACTGGATAGGTGGGTGGATGGGTGGGTGGATGTGTAAATGGGTGGGTAGATGGGTGGGTGGATGGGTGAATGGGTGGGTAGATGGGTGGGTGGGTGAGTGGATAGGTGGGTGGGTGGGTGAGTGCATGGGTGGGTGGATGTGTGGATGGGTGGGTGGATGTGTGGATGGGTGGGTGGGTGGGTGGATGGACACATGAGGGGGTGGATGGGTGAATGCTAACCGACCCCTGCACTCTTTCCCAAGGAATTCCCACTTGGATTCCAAATGACCCACAACCCTAGACTTCCCTGGTACCTTGGAGCCTGCTTGTCATTCTTGCTGTAGCCCCAAGGGGACCCCAGTGGCTCACTGTTTCCTACCAGCCCCCCCACGGGGACCTGCTCCTCCCCCAGCCTCTGTGAGTCCTCACCTTCTTCCCCAAAGCCCTCTTGGTCCCTCATCTCTTTTCCTTGATGCCCTCCTCAGGGGACCATGTCCTGCTTTGTGCCTGTGTCACTAGTGACCCGGGACTGTCCCACTCTGTTTCATTCAGCAGAGCCTCAGCACACAGCAGGAGCATACTCAGTGTTTGCTAACTTGAGTTAAACACCGGGCTTACTTTAGGTTCAGTGCTTTCCAGTAGGGCCTTAGTGTCTTTCAGATCATGTGTATTTGTTCCTGGTTTCTCTTTCATTTGTGTTACATTTGTCTCCTTTTTCTGAGTATAATCTTAGTGACCATTTCCTATGTCATCATTATTCTTCAAAGATGTCATATTTCATGGCTGCATAATACTCCCTCATTTTATCCTTAATTATTTGAAGGAGATGTCTGTCCATCCTCCACCCTGAGCCCTCCTGCCCTGGGGCCCAGCTTGACAATGGAGGTGATTTCCCAGAGGAGGGTGAACAATGCATTGGCCACGTGCACCCAGTAGGGTGGGGCTCCAGCCTTTTCCTCCAACTGTCCTTTAGACAGACAGAGAGATGGCCAGACAGACAGGACAAGCAGATGAGAGGCACCAGGGGAAGGGGGAGGCTTGGGTGGGGGATCTGGCCTTTCTGGGGGAGGTCAGGGGATGGGGAAGGGGTTGCTGGGAGTAGGAAGTGACTCACCCAAGGTCACCCAGCGAGGTGGGGCAAGGTCACAGTATAAACGTGGGCTCTTTCAAGATTCCTTCCTTAGAGGAATGCAGCAGCACATGCCTGTAATCCCAGTGACTCAGGAGGCTGAGGCAGGAGGATCACAAGTTAGAGGCCAGCCTCAGCAATTTAGCAAGACCCTGTCTCCCTGTAAAATTTACGAAGGGCTGTGAATGTAGCTCAGTGGTAAAGTGTTTGCTTAGTATATATGAGGCCCTGGGTTTGATCCCTAGTACCACAGAAAGAGAGAGAGAGAGAAAGAGAGAGAATGAATTCCCCATCCCCACAGGGCAGCCAGAGCCACTCCCATTATTACACAGAGCACCATGGGGATTAGGCCCCGTCTGTCACCTCCTTTAGGACATTCAAATCTCCCCACAGCTTCCTCTCTCTGAGAGGCAGAGAGTAAAGGTCTGTCTGGTCCAGCTGGCCCAAGTTCAAGTCCTGCCTCGGTCACTCTGTCTGCATGAACTTGGGCAAGGCAGTATCCTCATTCGCACAATGAAGAAACTAGTCCCTCCGCTGGTCACTGGGAGGAGTGTCACTTCCCACACGTGGAGCTGCTAGGACACTGCATGGAGTAAAAGTGACCTGCCACACAGCGAAGGCAGCTACCAGGTGGCATCGCCCCGTCATACTACCTGAGCCCAAGGCCTCAGCGGCAAAGCCTCGGGGACTCATCCAAGTAAACACTGAAACACAGTTTGTGGGGGGGGGTGCCAAAATGGGGTCCCTGCTGCCTGGGAGGAATTCAAGTCCCAGGCCACTGCTGTCCCTGCTGCTCAGCAGAGGCCGGGACACTTGGAGATCTGTCTCCCCACTTCCCCGCTTTCTCCTCTCTTCGGTGCCAAGGCGGCTCAGACAGGCGGGCATTGTCCCTCCTGCTGGGCCCAGATCCCACAGCTGCCAGCCCATCTGGGGCGCAGGGTCTTCATGGGACCCGCCTGCTGTGTGTGGGGGGGACATTTGTGTCCCCGTTGCCATGGGAGACTCAGATTCTACACTGGACGCTCTCTCCGGTGTCCTGACGGTGACCCCCGAGCATCTCCGACCAGCAGGCCGAGGGACAAAGCTGCCTTTGGCTGCAGGCTGCCAGCCTGCGTCAGTCCCCCACCAGCTGGAGGCCGGGGAGCCGCCTTGTGGCCCCCTCACTGAGCACATCTCCTATCTCTGTCATGACACGAGGTGACAAATGTTTCCCATCGATTCTGCTGCTGAAGTGTCTCTGGATCTCTGCCCTCTGTGTGCCCCACACCCGCTGCCCAGGTCTCCTCACCCTCCTCCTGGCCTGTCCGCCCGCCCTCCGCAGCTAGAGGGAGCTTTTAGAAACGCAGTTCCATCTCCTCCAACCCTGCAGGCTTTAGGACTCTCCTGAGGGCGGGTGACCTTGGGTGGGCATCCCCGACCCTGCATCTGCATCTGCATCTGCACTGAACATGTGTAGACTCCTGTAGGTCAAGACAGCACAAGGACCATTTCTTAGCGTTTATTTGGCACTAGGTATTATAAACAATCTAGAGACCATGGAAAACACACAGGAGGCTTGGTGTGGATTGATGCAAATATCACACCTTCATAAATTTTGCGAACCTCAGGGCGGGGGTGCTGGAACAGACCCCCTACAGACACCGAGTGTGATAGTATTTGCAAAACATCTGGCAGTAGCTGGGCGCCGTGGCACACACCTGAAATCCCAGGAGCTAGGGAGGCTGAGACAAGAGGATTGCCAGCCAGGGCGGCCCTAAGCAACTCAGCAAGACCCTGTCCCTAAATAAAATACAAAATAGGGCTGGGGTGTGGCTCAGGAGGTAGAGGGCTTGCTTTGCATGCACAAGGCCCTGGGTTTGATTCCCAGAATTACAAAAAAATAGGGCTGGGATGTGGCTCAGTGGTCTAGCGCCCCTGAGTTCAGATTCGTCCTCTCAGGGAAGAAGGAACAAAGGTCCTGGGCACCCAACGTGGCTGGCTTTGCCCGTTGGAGGTCAGACCTAGGAAGCCACCACTGTTCCCCAGAAGATGGTCTTGACTTGGCCTTTGAGCATTTATGGCCACTCGCCACTATCTATTTGTTGCTGGGATTATTTTAAGATCTATGAAGGAACCGCTCGCTCCTGTCCTGTTCAGGACGGCAGGTGCCCGGCACCCAACGACCAGCACCGGGCAAGGGCTGAGAAGGGTGCCCACAGCCTGCTGAGGAGGGAGTGGCCGCCGTGTCTGGCCCCAGAGGGGGAGCGTCCTGGGGATGGCCAGAGGGGAGGGCCTGCCGGTGCCGGCCTGCTCAGGGAACTGGCCACGGTTCTGGAAGGAGCCGTGGGGTGGTGCCAAGGGAAGCTGCTGGGAACCGCCGTGGAGGACCTCACAGGGACCACGTCCCACGCTGCCATCACCATGATTATTACTTCATCTCTTTATTGAAGAGTAATATATATATATATATATATATAAAGAAAGGGGACCATCTTGTGCGGGTCCAGCCCAGTGAATCTTCTCATGCTAAACACACAGGTGTAACCAGATCCCAGGTGAAGAGTGGGGGCGGAACCAGGGCCCGGGAAGCTCCCCTTGCCCATCCAGGCACGAGTCCTTCCCCCTCCAAGAATGACCTCCAGCCTGAGTCCTCTCGTCTGTTTATTTTGCTGGTTTTGGCACCAGGGATTGAGCCCAGAGGCACTTGACCGCTGAGTCACACCCCCAGCCTTTTTTGTGTTTTATTTTGAGTCAGGGTCTCCAAAAGTTGCTTAGGGTCTTGCTAAGTTGCTGAGGCTGGCTTTGAACTTGCGATCCTCCTGCCTCAGCCTCCCCAGTCACTGGGATTACACGCGCGGCTGACACAGGATTTACTGAGCAAAGCTTACAAGAGATCAGCTGCTGCTCTAGAAGAGGTCACGGGGAACCCCTGACAGAGCCTCTCCATCCCTCGAGGTGCATCACCCAGCACTGCTCCTCTCCCTCGGGCCTTTTGTCCAGGGCGGCTGGCTGGATGAGGGACACATGTCCTTTCCACAGTGCCCTCAGCTCTGTCCCCATTGCCACTGAGGGGGACGTCACATGTCAGGCTGCAGAAACAGTGACATCCTCAGCATTGGCTTGTGTGACCAGCAACCGTCCAGCCGTATCCGTAAGAAGGTGGCTTCCTGCGGAGAGCACCCTCTGGCCCTCGTTCCCAGGGTGCATAGGAGATGGCCGGTGCCCTCCCCGATAACGTGTGTCTGGACATTCCAGGCCAGGATTGGGTCACTGCTCCCTTGGCTTGGCCAGGTCTGGGGGTGGGCAGGGCCGTTCAGCGACGTGATTCTTACGACACACCACCCCACGCCAGAGAGGCCTCTACAGAAGAAAGAATGGACCCCAATTCACAGCCTTGCCCCGACCGGCTCTGGCAGCAATTCTTGGCCAATATGCCAACATGGAGTCCTGAGCTGAAGCTTCCACTTCAACTAGGTTAGTCTCTTCCTCTGTCTTGTCTGTGTGTGTGTGTGTGTGTGTGTGTGGCGCTGGGGATTGAACCCAGGGCCTTGTGCACTCCAGGCAAGCACTCTACCAGCTGAGCTATGTCCCCAGCCCTCTTCCTCTTTCTTACCCTCAGGAAACCTTACAACTTTCCTGAAGCCCTGCTGTCTCGGTCACTGCCTTGGTCACTGCCTTGCATTTCCCGGAACATGGCTTCAATGGGCCTCCTGCAATGTTGCAGGAATATCCTATTTTTTTCCGGGGGATTCATGCCTCTGGGGCTTCAAAGGAACCTCTGTTCTGGACATTGGTACGCAAATTAAATTGCAGGCACCGTTTCCACAAAGTGTCCCAAGATACCTTATTAATCGGAGCCAAATGGTCAGCAAGGGCCGGGCTGGCATTTTACAGTAAAGTTTTGGGTGAGTTTTGAATTGTCCGGTTGTTGGCAGGAGGTGAGCTGCGTGTTTGAACCTGCAGCTTAAGCAACGCGTGTTTCCATTAGATGTTCTTTTTTAGGATCCTTCATAACTGGGACCAGGATAAAATCACATTTTCCTCATCTAATTCCTCCTCAAAAAGTTCTTCTCCCTGACACTCTGATTTGAGCATGACATCTTCAGGAACACCCAGAAGCCAAAGGCCACAACACTGTCCCACTTTTTTTTTTTTGTACCAGGGATGGAACCTAGGGGCACTTACTTACTGAGTCACATCTCCAGCCCTTTTTGTATTTTGTTTAGAGACAGGGTCTCCCTGAGTTGCTTAGGACCTCACTACATTGCTGAGGCTGGTCTCCAACTTGTGATCCTCTTCCTCAGTCTCCCAACCCACTGGGATTACAGGTGTTCACCACCATGCCCAGTTGTCCCACTTTTCTTTAAGGCAGATACACAAGCATACTCCAGTTTGAGTCCTCCCATTAAGTACAATTAAAGATTTTAGACACAGCATGTAAAACCAGCAGGAGGAGACTCAGGGGAGGAGGAGGCAGATGAGGATCTCAGGCCCAAAGAGCAACAGGAAGGTGAGCTTCCTGAAACTTTGTTCTCATTTTCCTCCTATATCCCACAGTTAAGAA